AAAAAAAAAAAAAAAAAAAAGTATAACATTATGTGGCTCGGTTTAAAAGACAAAAGGTGTATTGTGAAAACCTCCATCTAACTATCAACTACCTGATTTTCTCCAGAGGTAATCCAGCTAAGTTTCTCTTTCCTTTAGAGTTTATGTGGATACCAGAGGGGAAAGTATGTCTGTATTCTTTTTTTGTTGTTGTTTTTGAGTTGTTGTCTCACTCTGTTGCCCAGGATGGAGTGCAATGGCATAATTGCAGCTTACTACAGCCTCGACCTCCTGAACAGTCCTCCAGCCTAAGTCCCCTGAGTAGCTAGGACTTCGAGTGTATACCACCATGCCTGGCTAATTTTTAAATTTTTTGTGGAGACAAGATCTTGCTGTTGCCCAGGCTGCTCTCAAATTCCTAGTCTCACCAATCCTTGCTGCAGCCTCCCAAAGCAACCCCACCTTTTTTAAAAAATACAAGTGGTAGTCTACTATACACCTATTCTATACCTCCCCCCCCTTTTTTTAAAATTTGAGTCAGTCTCTGTTCCCCAGGCTAGCGTGCAGTAATAACAGCTAGCTGATCCTTCTGCCTCAGCCTTTCAAGTAGCTGAAACTATAGGTGCCCACTACCTGGCTCAAAAAATGCCCGGCTTATTTTTTTATTTAATGTAGAAGACAGATCTCACCAAGTTGCCCAGGTTGATCTCAAACCCCTGAGCTCAGGCAATCCTCTTGCCTCAGCCTCCCAAAGTGCTGGAATTATAGACATGAGCCACTGTGCCTTGCCTGCCCCTCCCTTTTAACCTTTCTATTATTTTATTTCCTGTTGTACATAAAGAGTTTTCTTTCTTTTTTGTTGTTGTTGTTTTGGGTTGGAGTCTCTCTCTGTTCACCCAGGCTGAGTGCAGTGGCATGATCATGGCTCACCACAGCCTGGACCTTCTGGCCTTAGGCCATCCTCCCAAGTAGATGGGACTGTAGGTGTGTGCCACCATGCCTGGTTAATTTTTTTTATTTCTTTTGTAGAGAGGAGGTCTTGCTATGTTCCCAGGCTGGTCTCAAACTCCTGGGCTCAAACAGTTCTCTCACCTTAGCCTCCCAAAGTGCTGGGGTTGCAGGTGTGAATCAGCACGCTTGGTCTCAAGAATTTTCTTACTTCTTTTTTGTGACTAAATAGTATTTCAAAAAATGGATATCTGTTATATGACCAGTTTCCCATTGATGGATATTGTGTGGCAAAGGTGCTCATTATACATTGGTATGTATTGAGTATATTTAGGAAAGTTTTCTAGAAGTAGAACTGTTGGGTTAGAAAGTTAGATACAGTTGTCATTTGGGTAGTAACAGTGTTCTCCAGAGAGGTGAATGCTCCCACTAGCGGTTTGTGAGCATTCCTATTTTTACTTGTTTCAGCTAACAGAGCATGTTACCAAACTTTTGGGTCTGCCAATCAGAGAGGTATCTAAGGTTTTTTTTATTTTATTTTAGGATTTCATTTCCTGCCTAGACCCTCAGCTTGGTGGGTAAAATTTCTGCACATTTCCACCTGGGATCCATCCAGAACTCATGCATTTTATGTCTCCCAGTCCTCACCATTGGCTCCTTCTAGCCTAATATAGCCTTAGCCTGACTATACCAGGGCATGACCTTGGTTTCTTTCAAGTGTTTTATCCGGAAAATCTCTGGGAAAGGTTGTGTTATATTTGTTATTAGGTAATTTAGAAATAAAATTTGAGTTTCTCAACTTGTAAACTGGCAAACAGCAATATTAATCATGTTAACGTAACCTATGAAAAAGGTACAGAGTACTACATTTCTTTAGTGTTCACATGTTGAAAGAGTAAAGAAATTATCTTCTTATTTTAGTCAAAATATGATTAACCTTTTTCCCCAAAGTGTCTTGCTTTGTGATGTTTTTTCAGGTTTTCAGAACAACATAATCAGTTCATTTCCAGACTGCCCTTAATATGTCAAATGAAACCTGTTCTGATTATACCTATTTTTTCTATCTTACAGATAATAATTGTAATTTTCTATGTCAGATATCCTGAGTTAGAATTCCTGTGTGACCCTGGGCAAATTATTTTACTCTCTTTTATGCATCTATAAACTGAACTGACAATGACAGCCTCAAAGTTGTAAGGATGAAGTGCAGGGACTTGGGAGCCAAGCCACAGGCCCTTGTGTCCTGATTTTTTCACTTAGTAACTTAGAAGCTGTACTTCAGTATCATCATTTGTGCAGTAGAGACCCTAAGTCCCTCTGTGGCAGTTCTGAGGCTTGTAGAGCATGCAGTCCAGCACAAGGGTACCTGTCTGCAGTGACAGTTGCCTGACTGCATGAGCTTCTCTCAGGCTTACCGATTGCCTGCTGGTGTCATTGCTGCTGGGCAGGCAGAGTTGGGAACAGCACCAGACAGTCCTGTATGTGGAGCGATAGCCTCCTCCAGCACTGATGAGGTCTGCTAAAACTGCCTGGTTCGGCCATGCTGTGAGGTCACTGAGGATTTTGTGCTGGTGCTTTGCTCAGGTGCTTTTAGGAATTCTTGTTTCATCACATCACCCTGTGAAATGGTTATAGAGGTTGGATGACTTTCTAGTAAGTGTTACATTGTGATTAGGACCGAATTTTTGGACTCCAGTGTCTTTTTATCATGTAAATCTCTTTAATGTAGGAACCAATCTGAAGTTGAGAAACACTTTGGGGGAGGGGCAGACATTAGAACAGAGTCTCCTTTTAAAGAACATGTCAGTTAAAAGACCTTTTCGTGGCCAGACATGGTAGCTCATGCCTATAATCCCAGCACTTTGGGAGACCGAGGCGAGAGAATTGCCTGAGCTCATGGGTTCGAGACCAGCCTGGGAAACTTGGTGAGACCTCATCTCTACAGTAAATCAAAAAAATTAGCCGGCCGTGGTGGCATGTGCCTGTAGCTCCAGCTACTTAAAAGACTGAGGCGGAAAGAGCACCTGAACCCAGCAGACCAAGGCTGCAATGGCCATGAGTGTGCCACAGCACTCCAACCTGGGCGACAGACCTTTTCATGGACTGCTTGTTCTCTGTGGTAAAGTTTACCCTTTAGTTTTTAGGTTGTCAGACATGTGAGTTCATTGTCAATTTGGATTCTGCCTGAAATGAAGGTAATTACTTTGATTGCTAAAGGCATTGACAGGATTGTCAGACATCTGCTCCCCATTTGACAGCTGATTAGTGAATCTCTGGGTCTGTCTCAGGTGTGTCATCTGGACAGACAGTAGACAGGTGCTGCATGGGTGAGCCTGGGGCATCTGAGGCTGTTCTGTTAAGAGCTGGTGTCCCAAGTGAGCACAGAAAGTACAGGCCCTTATCAGCTCACTGGCAGTTTGGTTCTGATGAGCTCCAGCCAGCTCTCCATTTTTCCAGGAAGCACTGTGTGCAAGTATGTATAAGCAAACAAATGCCAGATCCCTTGCTTTCCTGATTCTTTGATTTGTGCATAGTGAAGTGTTTACCAAAGAACATTTAGGTGAGTAGCAAGAGGAAATTCTTGAATTCCAAGGTTGTGGAGTGATATCTGGGAGTCAGCCTCTGAATGATATGCTTTAGCCTTTCTCTACTTTTCTGGGATACTTGATACTAGGAGACTCGGAGCTTCTTCCCTGTCTTGGTCTACTCCCAAGTATGCATGTGTTTGAAAAAAGAAAGATTTCTGGAGGAGACCATAACCTTTTCCAGTGTCCCTGTGATTCATCCCAGTGTTGCACTGATCTTTGTGGAGCATTTTCTCCCAGCTGACCTATTCTCTTCTGTCCATTTTAGAGGGGTTGCATAGATTATCACCCCTTGGCCTGTTGCCTTAACTTTCATATGGCTTCTCATCTTCACCTCAGATTTTCTTTTCTTTTTTGGTGTCAGATCACACTGTCTAAGCTTGTTATCACTGCTGAACAAACTTGTTTTTATATTCAGCATGATGCTGACATTAGCAAAGCGTAACATTAGCATGGTGTAACTTCATTGTTTCTGATTACTGGTCACAGACTGATAGTTGGACAAGTGATGTCCTATTTGTATGTTTATCTGAAATTACGTTGGCCTTTGCCTAGTAGTATGTAGTGTCTTACTCATTTGTTTCTTATTGTTTCCCACCAACTCTTAGATAAGCAATTAGGTATCTAGATTTCTTTTCCTTTACTTTGGGTAAATAATAATCAGTTTTCCTACTATGTTAGACAGTAGGCAATAACTAAATGTATTCACAGCTCTCAGTAATGTTTGTTCTATTGTTTTGTTTTTGAGGTGAAAGGGGGGACTCTACCCTCAGAACATGAGGGAATAATATTTACGTGGCTCACAAAGACCAGTGAGTACATCATCTGCCCCTCCCACTCTCCAGAAGAGGGCCTCTAGCACTAGTCTTGGTTCAGGGCTTTCTGTCCCTCAGAGAACTCTATTGTGGCCAAGTATTTTAGTTTTCCTCAACATTTCTTGGTAATGTCATTGAGGGTTGGAGGTTCTTTTACAAATTCTGGAAACAAACAAGGAAATCAGATGAAAAGACCATTCTTTTGAACAGTCGTTTGGTTTAGCACATCCCCCTTGATTTAATGTGATTATGAATGTGTTAGATTAGTTTAAAGTCTTCCCATTGAACCTACAGGCTTTAAGAAACCAACCCTGGAGTATATATCCTATCAAACAAATGGGTGCCAAGACTGTGCACATAATTTATTACAGCTCTCTGCTTTTCCTGTGCTAGGCAATGGATCATTTGGAGTCCTTTATTGCAGAGTGTGATCGGAGAACTGAGCTTGCCAAGAAACGGCTGGCGGAAACACAGGAGGAGATCAGTGCGGAAGTTTCTGCAAAGGTGTGTCTGGGTGGCTTTGGTATAAAACTATCTTGCAATACTGGGATGACCACTATAAACTTGCCCTTAGCACGGATTGGGTGACTTCAGGGTGGTCAGTACTCTGTTTTATCCCAGTAAGGACAGAAGTCTGTGACCAAACATTCATTTATCAGTGGACTCTGACCACCTTCCCCCAGGAGCTGCTGCCTCTGTCCATTTTTTCCCCTTCTAGATATATTCTTAAAACTTACTTTGTTGGCTGGGTGTGGTGGTTTAGCCTGTAATCCCAGCACTCTGGGAGGCTGAGGCAAGAGGATTGCCTGAGGGGTTTGAGACCAGCCTGGGAACTTGGTGAGACCTTGTCTCTACAATAAATCACAAAAGCTAACTGGATGTGGTGGTGGCATGCGTCTATTCCAGCTACATGAAAGGCTGAGGCGGAAGGATTGCCTAAGCCTTGCTGGTCGAGACTGCAGTGACCGTGAGCGTCCCACTGCACTCCAGCTTGGGTGTCAAGAATGAGACTCCAAGCCGGGCTCGGTGGCTCAGCCTGTAATCCCGCGCCTTTGGGAGGCTGAGGTGAGTGGATTGCCTGAGCCTGCGGGTTCGAGACCCACCTGGGAAGCGAGACCTCATCTCTACAATAAATCAAAAAATCAGCTGGGCGTGGTAGCACATGCCTGTAATTCTGGCTACTTGGAAGGCTGAGGCAGAAGGATCGCCAGAGCCCAGCAGGTTGAGGAGCGGCCACTGCACTCCAGTCTGGGCGACAGAGTGAGACTTCAACTCAAAAAAAAAAAAAAGAATGAGACTCCAACTCAAAAAACAAAAAAAGAATCTTTGTTTACCATCCCCACGTAAAACGGGGAAAAATGAGTAGGGAAATGGTCAAACTATGCTGTATCCATATTGTGGCATGAAGAATGAGGTAGATCTGTATGTAACTAGCCTCACTGTAAGCTACATTACTCTTCTGTTTTCCTCTGCAGTGGGACTAAGTCTTTTAATTGTTCTTTCTTTTCAATAATGTAAAGATTAGGGTATGTGCAATTGCTAATTTGACCAAAGGTGCTAAATTGTTTCTGAAAGTAAAACCCAATAATTAAGTATTTTGTTTATAGCATAAGTTTATACACTTTATTTTTTTTTTTTGAGTTGGAGTTTCACTCTGTCGCCCAGACTGGAGTGCAGTGGCCGCTCCTCAACCTGCTGGGCTCTGGCGATCCTTCTGCCTCAGCCTTCCAAGTAGCCAGAATTACAGGCATGTGCTACCACGCCCAGCTGATTTTTTGATTTATTGTAGAGATGAGGTCTCGCTTCCCAGGTGGGTCTCG